ACTAGATGATAAGACAGAACTTGTCAATGATAATATAAATAACTCTGTGAATGATGAAGATTCTGTACTCAGTGTTCTTAATGATTATTCAATTACACTGACAGAGATTAAAAGAAGTCATGACTGAAAACATTGATATCAGACAATGAAGAAGAAAGTGAAAACTTTTGAATAGAAGAAGACATATATTATTATTAAAAAGACTCTAGAAATGAACATTCTTACAGATAAATAAGTGTACAATTGAAAATTGAATAACAAGAATAAAATCATTCACTTTAGAGCTTATTAAGTGATTAGAGAATTTCTACAATAACAAGATATTTATTATAATAAGTTATATACAGTAGTGATGTCTGAATCTACATTACAGAGCTTATTCACTATATTAACAGTAAGGAGTTGAAAAGTCAGATTAATTAACTATATATCTGCATTTTTGAATAGAGTATTGCCTCAGAATAAGATGATATTTATGTAACTACTTACAGAGATTAAGCACAGTTGTAGTAAATTAGTAGAGCTTGTATATCAGAGCTTATACAGAATGAAACAGGTAGTAAGAACATCATATTTTCTTATAACAGAATACTTGATGAATCTAGAATTCAAGATCTTATCTTATAATAACAGATTTCTTTATCATTCAATTTATAAGTTATTCTTGACACTATATATCAATGACTGTCAAATCACAGAGCCTGAAGAGAGTGAAATTGAGTGAATTTTAATAAAAATTAGAAAAAGATTCAAGATAAAAGAAGTTAAACAGAATAAATCTTATCTGAAAATAAAGATTAAATACTGAGATGAAAATCTAGTGATTACACAGAGCTGTTATGTTGAAGAAATATTGAAAGATTTTGAAATGAATAAGGTCAACTCTGTGAGAACTTCAATGATGACAGGCATACAACTGAAATTTTCACCTGATTAGAATGATGAATTGAATAACAACTTTACAGCTATAAGATATCATCAAGAATTGAGATCATTGCAGTATTTAATCTCAAGCAGTCAGTCAGACCTGATGTTCATGATCAACTATCTCTCATATTTTAACTCATATTCATACAAAGTATGTTAAGCAGCATTGAAGCATGTTCTACATTATATCAAGAAGATAAAAAATTATAGCATATTATACAGAAAGAAGATCAGTAATAACAGTCTGAGTTCTGTAATATACTGTGATTTGAACTGAGTAGAAGTGAATTCTCAATACAAATTGACTATCAGCTATATTATATTGATTAATGAGTTACTGATCTCATGACAGTCAGAGAGACAGATATCTATCACTAAATCAATCACAGAAGCTGAATAAATTACAGCTAGTAAGACAGCTTATAAGATAGTCTGCTTAAATGATATGTTATATGATATCAGGTTGATGAATGATGAAAAAGCAAAAATATACTTATATCTATAAGTTAATAATAATGAGTAATTAATCTAGCAAAGAGAGAATTCTTAATATGAAGATTATATCATATCAAGATCAGATATCATATTCTTCACAATTTAATTGAAAAAGAGAAAATCATGATGAAACATGTTAATTCTACAGTGAATATAGCTATCAGACTTATCAAGTCACTGATAAAGCCTGCATTTGAAGATTTTATCAAAAGAATTGATTTGAAAGAGATCAGAAAGAAATGATTGAATAATAATAATAATACAGCAGATCAATGAATTTTGTATGTATTTCTTAATTTTTACAGTTATTGCTGTACAGACATCTTTTCTAATGAGAAAATCAAAGTCTGATTAATGTAATTAATTATTATTATGTTTTTGAAAGATTTGAGAATGAGAGAGGCTCTGAGTGGCAGCTTATAGATCACAGTGTAGCAAGGGAGAGTGTTAGTGATTACTATATCTACTCTAGTCATGTGCCACCTCAACCTATTCATTTAGTGTAACTCGCGTAGATAGACTACACACATATAACATAACAATGTTATTCTTCAAGAAGAAGAATATATAACTGCTGAATAATAATACAGCTGCTTCTGAACACACTTACAAATGTAAAGAAGCTCTAGCAGTCACTAATTAATTTAGATAATGTATATAAGAAGCCGGTGTACGCCTGTAATCATACACTGACTTAAGCAATCTTTGAATCACACAATCACTATCTGAGTATAAAGATTGATAGAGATTTAACTTTATTAACATTATTTTAACTTCTCTTTATAAGAAACCTTCTGAAGAAGTTTTCAATAAATAACTATTATTCTACATTCACTTCTATAAAGAAGAATGTTGATTTTATAAATAATAATGAGAAATTAATTACATATATAGCAGAATTTACTCTATAATTCTATTACTTCAGTATCAGATTTCTGTAATATCTAATATTCAATACATATTCTGATATGAGCTTTGCTACAGAATTTCTTAAATGATTCAGCTTTCAGTCTATATCAAAGAACTGAGGTATATACAAGTATACACTCTGATATCTACAGAGTTCTTAATAAGAGTATAATCTATCACAGAGGTGCTGAAATTGAACCTGTAGTATATACAGATACTGATTAAGCTGATAGAGATTCAGAATCTTATTCAACTACTGATTATATCATCTATAAAACAGATAGTCTTATTGTATGACAGAGTTACTGATAAACAGAGATCTCTAAATTATTAACAGAGGCTGAATATATTGCATTCTCTGAGACTATATATAAGCTTATCTGTCTCTGAGAGCTTCTAGAAGATACTGAATTTATTTCATTCTATCTTAATAATCTGAATACTGATGATTATCTTATTTCTATCACAGCTAATAATCTGACTTATATAATTTATACTGATAATAAATCTGTCAGAGCTATTCTCTTTCAAAGCAATTTCATACTACTTGAAGTATATAGAGGTCTGTTTTCACATTCTTCAGAATCTTATCTATAAGAATAAGATAACTATCTGATATATTTCATCTGCTAAGAACACAGCAGATAAGCTTACTAAATCACTTAAAACATTGAAATATATGTGTTGAAAGAAGAATATGAAGATGAAGAAACAGAGAAATAAAAAATAATATATCTTATAACTGATTTTTCATTACTACATATTTTTCAGTCATTTTTTATACCTGTACTTGATTTAAAGGTGAATTTTGTATATAACATCATGTATAGTTACTCTGATAAGTGAGAGTGTCAGGTCATGTGATCTGACTTACTAATTCTTTCATTATATAACTTTTCACAATCTAGTCAGAAAGCAGAAAACTTTATCTTAGAAAGTAGAAAACTTAACCTTACTAAGTGTATTACTTAACCTCATTATATAAGCTAATCTTATAAATGTAACTTATATTATTATCTGATCTCACTCAATACATCTTATCTTATAATATGAAATTACTTAACTATTTATCATCAATTCTACAATTAATTTAAAATCAATTTAAAATCAATTTAAAATTAATTTAATACTGAAATTATTCCTGAATTTAATAATAAAGTAAGTATTTATATAATTTACACTGAATTAATTATCAACTGATTTTCAATCAATTATTAATTACTTAAATATATAGATTGAATTTATTTTATTACTATAATTAATTAACAATTGATTCAGAATCAATTTAAAAGCAATTCAAAATTAATTTAATACTGAAATTATTCTTGAATTTAATAGTAAAGTAAGTATTTATATAATTTATACTGAATTGATTATCAACTGATTTTCAATCAATTATTAATTACTTAAATATATAAATTGAATCTATTTTTATTACTATAATCAATTCAGAATTAATTCAGAATCAATTTAAAATTAATTATTAAATATTTTTATCTTAATATATTTTAACATTCTGTAAAATATCTCTTTATATTCTATATAAATTTATCTGTTCATTTAATTAATTATGAATTAACTATATATACTTTGATTGATTGATGAGCTGAATGAATAAGTGAATCTTCAACTATTCTTCACATATAACACAACAACGTTATTCTTCAAGAGAGTGTCAGATCACGTGATCTGGCTTACTAATTCTTCCATCATATAACTTTTCACAAGCTAGCGTGTATATAGAAGCAAGGTGTATACAGAAAACTTAACCTCACTAAGTGTGTCACTTAATCTTATTACATAATCATGACTCTGACCTCGCACAATACAGTAATAATCAGTTGATAATTGACTTTCAATCTTTCAATTCACTTATTTATTCAGCTTATCAATCAATCAAAGCATGTATAGCTGATTTATAATCAATTAAATAAACAGATAAATTCATATAGAATATGTCAGGTCACGTGATCTGGCTTACTAATCCTTTCATCATATAACTTCTCACAAAGCTAGCAATCTTTCAATCACACAAAGCTTTACACCTTTCACAGAATATAAAGAGATGTTTTACAGAATTTTAAAATATATCAAGATAAAAATAGTTAATAATTGATTTTAAATTGATTTTAAATTGATTCTGAATTGATTCTGAATTAATTATAGTAATAAAAATAGATTTAATCTATATATTTAAGTAATTAATAATTGATTGAAAATCAGTTGATAATCAATTCAGTATTATTATTAAATTCAAGAATAATTTCAGTATTAAATTAATTTTGAATTGATTTTGAATTGATTCTGAATTAATTATTAATTAATTATAGTAATAAAATAAATTCAATCTGTATATTTAAGTAATTAATAATTGATTGAAAATCAGTTAATAATTAATTCAGTGTAAATTATATAAATACTTACTTTATTATTAAATTCAAGAATAATTTCAGTATTAAATTGATTTTAAATTGATTTTGAATTGATTGTAGAATTGATGATAAATAATTGAGTGGTTTCAAATTACAAGAAAAGATGTATTGAGCGAGGTCAGGTAGTGGCACAGGCCACATTTGCGAGGTCAGCTTACATAACGAGGTCAAGTGGCGCACTTAGCGAGGTCAAGTTTTCTGCTTCCTGCAAGGTAGCAAGCAACCTTTCAATCAAGCAAGCTTTACACCTTCCACAATTTGCAGGCCACACTGGAATGTGTCAGCACATCATTCCAGCGTATACAGTAACTACAGATTTAACTTGAATAGGTTTAGATCTATCACTTTTTCAACTAAATAGTTACACCGTTGAACTCTATAATATGAATCTGACTGCCAGCTTGGCATGCTTGGTATCCGGCCAGGTTAGCGTGTATAACCCCGGCCAGAGCCGTCCAGGGTCGTACAAGCTGGCACTCTACGGATTTATAGGGCCCTGGACGGGGTCACCGAACAGGCCCTAAAAGTTTCATTGTGTGACACTGTAGCTAGATTATATTATTACATGTGTGAATTGTGAGGTGATTACTGTGGTAACACTGCTGCTACATTCCTCTCACTCACCTCTTCAATGTTTGTTCTCTACTCCAACACCTGCACTTATAAATCAATATAGAAGAGAGTCAAGCTCGCTAATAGCTCACAGATACACTCCCTCCGAAAACAGAAAAATGTAAGATAAATATGCCAAATTCCAAAAATTGAACAGCAGCCCCAAAAACATTTTTCACAAAATCCCCCAGAACTTCTCCGATCCAAATGTTCCCGCAATATCCTTCTTCCACGGATCATCAAAAGCAGAAAACAAAAACAATCCAGCATCATCATCATTCGCAAATGCGTTGTTCAAACTCTGCAGCGCCAGCTGCTGGTTCTTCTTGGACGGCACTGCCTTCCCATTCGATTGTCCGGATTTCGGCCAGCCGGATTCCGTAATAATAGTCATCTTTCCCCCTCCTGCAGCAGCAGACACACGCTTCATCTGGTCCTTGACAAACTCCCCCGCACGAGACGCGTCGATATTGGGGTCGAAGAAGGCATGGCAGTTCGCAGCACAGTAATCGGAGGCTTTGCAGAGTTCTGGGTGGTCGATAAGCGCGACGAAAGTGTCAACAGTGACGACAGGGCCTTTGTAACCCGCTCCGCGCAGTTTCGAGCGGGCGGTGTTTACTGCTTTGACGACCGCATCGGCAGAGGCTTGGCCGTTGTTTACAAGTTCATTGCCGATAGAGACTGTAGTGATGATTGGCCAGGCGGATTTGGCGCCCTCAATCAAAGTGTGTAAACCGTTGTCGAGATCGTTGATGTCAAAGATGCCGGCGAACAGTTTCTTGTTGTGCTTCTTAGCGGCAGCTACGATTTTGGGGACCTGATCGCAGTCAACGCCGTAGAAACGAATGACGTTGTATTTGCCTAGTTTGGAGAAGTCGTCGTCGATTTCCTTCTCAGATTTGCATCCGCCGTCACTTCGGTATGGGGCGTAGCATACTCCCAATCCCTTCGTGGGTAAGTTAGGGGCCGCGGGGTCCTTCGGAGATGATAGTGGTGGTGGTAGAGGGAGTGGAAGTGAAGGTTTACTGGGCGAAGGAAGTGGAGGCAAGTTGGGTAAGTCAACAACGTTAGATTTGCCTCCAGGAGGTGTGGGAGCAGCAGCTGAAGGTGGTGGTGGAAGTGGAAGTGGAGGCAGTGGTGAAACTGGAAGTTGGACATTTTTGGTTGCTAGACCCTTGGGCGAGTGGAGGTGTTGCGTGACAGTGGACAGCGGAGCCGTGTAAGTAGACACCAGGCCTTTGGTCTCAGTTTTAATAGGTTTCCCATTCTGGTTGACCCAAACGACGACCCCAGGCACATCAACGATGACATATTTAGTCAAGGTCGCGCGCTTGGCATTTTGAGGTCGGTAGGCTGCCGTCAAGATATATCAGCTTCCAATCTCATGGCTAAGTTTAGTATAGTAGTACATATTACAAGCAGAAAACAAGAGAACTTACGTCTCGGGAGGGCCTCTGTTACTCCTAGAAAAGAGAGCGCGGTAATAGTGAAGATACCAGTCTTCATTGTCATGTATTTACTTTTGTGCAATGTATGTGAAGATTTCCCAAGGATGGATGGCCCTCTATGTGGGATGAGAGGAGCGCTGTGTGTGCATTATCAGTCAGTCAAGAGGAAGCCGTAATTACAAGAGCAGAGGTAAACAAGTATATGTAAATGCCCAGAATGCAGCTTTAAAACTTTTCAGCGACCCTCGTTCTAATTAAATGGAGCAATATGAGGACAGCCTTGACAGGGAAGAAAAGGTTGGATCTCACAAATTGACACGATAGAAGGAAACTTCACTCACCCGGAAATAGGGCATACAACAAGTGGGTTGAATATATATCTCCACAGCCCACTGATTCGAAGTTCACGAGCTAGTATAAGTTGTGAACGTGAGACTGTTTTCGTGGTGGTATTTAGCCCCAGCAACAGGAAAATGAGACCCTGGCCACTCCAGTATATCAATATGTTGGTGTGTGCACGAAGAAGCTAGGGTTGTATTTGTCAACGCCGGCGATATGAACGACGGGATTCTTTCCTTTTGCAATGAAGTGCAAGGTTGTTGGAGCTTGATGAAACAAGCTAATTGAGAGATTGGCGTTCAAGAGATTCACAACGCATGGTTAAGTTTGTATTTGTAAAAGATAGGACTGCTTCGCAGGGGCGAAAGGCAAGGGTGTCTGAATAGGGAGGGTATAAGGAGGGACTGAGTTCAATATATCACTACCAGACGAAGCAGGTAGGTATTCAGGAGGCCATCGCGCACTGGGTGCAAGGTCAAAGCCGAGGACTCCCTCAAGAAGTAACGAAGGTAAGTAGAATAAAATGAATGATAAAAAATAAAAATCCCCGACTGGAGAAATCTCAGACACTAGTTGAGCAATGACAACCGAGTATAGCTCGATAAAGACTGACTAGTAGTGAGAAAGATAAAAGCTTTCAAAAATAGAAAAGGAGTGGAATAAGCCGGGGCTCACAAAAAGGAGCATTACCAGCAGCCAACCCCAGGCTCGGCCTGAAGAATTTAAAACAGATAAAAAAAAAAAAAAAAAAAGAAGAAGAAGGAATAAAATAAAGTAACGAGTGTTATGTGAAAGAAGTACAGATCGACTTAGTTTAGAGGCGAACAAGATGGCAACACCAACACCGGAGTCGCGGAGAAAGGCGACTTCAGGCAGCGCATCAACTCTTGCCAACAAAGGGAATGAATGATGGTCTGAGGAGATTGAGGTGATAAGGACAGGCAATGGCGGCGTTGAACTGGAAAGAAACGAAATCGGCCAGGAACGCAACATGATCCAGTTTTATTTTTCTTAGGGTGTGCAAGAACTGCTATACATATTGGAACATGTACATGTGCTTGTTAGTAGTTGGGAGTTGGCGATGGGGTGTAGAGATTGGCTGAGCGGTAACCCAAAGCAGGAAAACACGGTAATTTCTTTTCTCCTTTGAAGAGAAGATTGTAAGTAGCAAAAAGGCGAAATCGGTAAACTGATTAAAGAAGTGCCACATATGTTGCCCTGAGGAGATCCGATACCATTCTCTTTCTCTACGCTTTTGTCGGTGAGTTGTCCAAATGGGACGTACCGTACCTCATTCTCACCGTTTGTGCGTAGTTGTTTATGGGAGTCGAATTAACACCGCCATTTCCCGTAGACGTCTCCGCGTCCGTGTTTGTCCGGTTTCATCATCTCATCTCCTTATGGCTTGGATGCTTGTCGAACGGGATATGCAAGGTAGACAGACAGCCAATCAGCAGGGTGTATCCTCGGCGCATTAATCAGCGACTGCATTATTGAACAGGCAATGCAGCCAACTGTAGCGGCCCCTATTTAGTGAAGATTGACATATAGCGTTCAGAGATACCCCTGTATCACTGTATCAAAAATCTAACTGAGGGTCCAGGACAAGAGAGCGAAGCCAAGCGCAGCATTGATTTTTTTTTTTCTTTTTTTTCTCCTTTGGAGCCACGACATCTCAAACGCGACACAACCTTCTGGATTTTCGTTTTCTGTTTCCCTCATTCGCTGCTTTGTTTCGTTGGCAAGTTTTCCGGGACGCCCCGTTTTCGTTCCCAAGAGAGACTTTCTCAAGAGAGACGGGGCAAATTCCAGGAACCAAACCAGAGTAGTTGGGAATATCAAATTGGACTGAACGTCGGGTCTACCTAACCAGCTTGATCAATCGACACACGATGCGTGACACAAGACTCTGGCTTGGCAGGGGATACCCGAGGCTTGATGCGTTCATTATTCCAAAGAGGCCTGGTCAAGAGTACTGTTGCGATTGTAGCGCAAACCTAACAGGACAGCAAGCTGGCTGACAATGTGGCCTTTTCCGATCTGTTCATTAGAAAATAAGGTCGCAGTTGAGGTTTTATGTTGCTTCTTTGTTTGGTTTCAATGTAGCGTTCTATTTATAAGGAAAACTGTCCCGGATACAACTAAGACATTATTGTTGTGAAAAGAGACTTGAGGCGGCGTTGTTGTTGTTGTTGTTGTTGTTGTTGTTGTTGTTGTTGTTGTTGTTGGTTCTCTTTGTGCATGTGAGTGAATGGAATGGTGTTGGATTCCCAAGTCGGTTGGCCTGATTTGGTTGTCGTGGGAATGAGGCTCTTAACCAAATAACAGGCTGCAAACAACAATCCTCTCTACTAAATAATAGTACACTCCCGTTGAATTAGATGAAGCGAATGAGAAGATACACCTTAGTTAAAAATGATATATATAAAAGAAGAAAGAGTAGAACCCTAGCCAAAAACCCGCTCCCAACTACATACGCTCAATCATCCCGACTGCCAACTGTCAACGACTCATCCTCACCCACGTATGGAGCTCAGGTACGATGGAAAAACCAAACCCAAAAGCCCAATCCAATCCAATCCAAGCAGGGAACGATCCAACAAGAAACTTCCTTCTTCTCTCTTTTTCAAAATTTTGAGAAAAACTTACCCTAACCTCCCCAAACCCAAACGAGAATCACCAGCTAGCAGGTTGCTGATGTACTACTTCACCTTCCTCTTCCCCTTGGGTCTCATTGATTAAATAACAAACGCAGTTCATTCAATAAGCAGTCCTGTTTCATAGAATGACATGTTGTGGAGGGTGGTACAGAAAAACTGGGTGATTGAGGACGCATCCTTAGTATGGGGGGATCGATTGGGCAGAGCAGAGGGGATAAGACGGGCTGACCAGTTTGATGTAAGCCGTATGACGATGATGGTGTCGAGGTTTTCTGAAACATCGAACGAATTATTGTATATGGATGCATGTATGTATATACACACATACCTGGGCCGGCACATAACCAGGGAATTGGAATTGACATGAAATATCCTGTACAGATAAGCAATCTCTGCGGTTACACTTATGGGGTTCATACATGTAACATTATCCTTGAGGAGCCCAGGAAGGGAAGGGGGAACAGAATCAACAGGCGTCGGACAGGAGTGAACAAGAGTGAAGCTATGGCCAGTAGTTCGCGCCAGTCTCGTCGTAAACAAGGCAACATGTATTGACAAAACGGGGAAAGAAAAATAAGGAGGATAATAGGGTACAGGTGAGTTGAACAAAAGTAGGTGACCAGGTGAATAACATTATTATATAAGAATATAAAAACCCCCCCCGGGGGGGGGGGGGGGGGGGGGGGTGGTACTGAATTACAAGAAGTCTCCCAAGCCTTTATCTTAGTAGTAGAAAGAAAAGACAAAACCAAAACCCCACAACCATGCGGGAAAGAAGAAGAAGAAAAAAAAAGCCAGCATCATGAAAATCAGAAAAGAACGCTGGAAAGCCCCCAAGCCCCCATAAAGCCAAGCCAGCCGCACCTCGAAACAAATATCATCGCCTCTGTCTGAGAACCTTCGTAATAGCATGGCGGATTACGGTTCCCGCCTTCTCAACCTCCTTCCGCGATATGCCTGTCGTTAAGCTTACTTTGAGAGCAGGAGGGGCGGGAGTTGCAATGCGCTTGGGAATCACGTCGTCCTCGATGGCCTTACAACGGGTGATGAGGACGCCATTGGCGAGAGCCTGAGGAACGTTTTATATGTTGGTTAGGCTTGGGATGAGGTGAATGGTATTTAAATTGGCAGAGAAAAGAGAAGAAAGAAAAGAAAAGGCGCGGGGAGGAAAAAGAAAGAGAAAGAATAAAAAAGAGGCTAAACGGAGGAGAGACGACGAAGAATGTGAGGGAAGGAAACATACCTCGTCAACAATATCCTGGATCACAGCCACCTGATCCTCATTGGAGAGCTTCTTCGCCGCGACAACACCCGGTTTCAGCACGAGATGGATAACCGGATTCTCCGGCGCAGACGTGCAGTAGACGTAGTCACTCCGCGGATCCAGCTGGGCCCACATCGCCTTGATATTCTCCCGCAGCTGCGTGATAAGGTCGGGACTATTCTGCAAGAGGGTGATGGTTTCACTAGCCGTCGTGGCCAGCAGGGCGGGAAGCGCGGCGGAGTAGCAGTACGCGCTGGCGGAGATGCGCTGGTGGTGGACAATTTCTTCTGACCCAGCGCAGAAGCCGCCTCCAGCAATAAGGGGCCCGGCCAGCGAGCCGACGATCATATCAACCTCTGTCGCGTCGACGTTTTGGTGTTCTGTGATTCCGCGGCCGGTGCGGCCCAGGACGCCGAACGAGCAGGTCTCGTCCAGGACTAATCGGAATTTGTAACGTAATTTAAGCTCGATCTTTTCATTATGAAAAGTTAGCTTCTACAGCTGCTTTGCTTGTCACAACGGCAGACCAAGGGATGAAAAGGGGCAAAAAGAAAAGAGGTAGACAGAAAAGTGCGAGACGCACAATAGCCGGTAAATCCACCATATCCCCCCTGCTCTCAAACAGCGCCTCGGTAATAATAAACCTTCTCGTCAAGGGCTTCTTCGCCTGCTCCTTCGTAATCTTGTTCAAGACCCGTTCCAAATCCTCCATATCATTATGTTCATACCAACGCACGGCGCTACGCGAGATCTGTATACCCTTCCGAATGGCATAATTGACTCCTTTATCCACAACAATGATATCACCACGCTTCGAAAAAGACGGGATAACACTAGATATCGTAGAGAACGCTTGCGCGTAGACGATGCAGGCAGGTACGCCTAGGGCGGCCGCAATGTCTGCCTCAGTGCGCATGTGTACGTCTTGTGTTCCATAGAAGCCGGGTGGTCCGCAGGGGCCGACGCCGTATGTGCGGAGGGTCTGGATAGCTTTTTCCTTGAGGTTTTCGTTCGTGACAAGATTATAGAAGTTGTGAGAGGCGAGATTGATCACGGTGCGGCCGTTGGTGAGTTTCGACTTAGGGCCTGTTGGTCTGTTTATTTTGAAAGCAGAAAAAAAAATGTTAGCACGGTGTGTAGTATATGGAGTCACAATATCGTCTTTATTTTGGCATTTCGCTCTTTTAAAAATTAAATGAAAAGAGAACAACACATACCCAGCGAGCACAACCCGTTTCTCCACTTCCGCCTCATCCCGCGCTGAAGGAGCCGTTACAAGCGGTTCCGGAGTCCAGTCCTCAACCAGGTCATCAATTTCCTATATCCGCAACGCATCAATGTAACCAGCCAGCCAGTTAGCACAATGAAACCAACCCAACCAACCCAATATCAATATCCCATATCCCATCTCATACCAAGCTTGCATCCCCTAACCCGCAATTCCCCCACGCGCCAAAAAAAAAAAAAAAAAAAAAAAAAAAAAAAAAAAAAAAAAAAAAAAAAAAACTAACCTCCTCCGATAACGGCACGAAATTCGGCTTCGTTGAATACTTGGGCGCAAGCAGGTATCTCACCGCGAAGAGGAACAAGAATAGCTCGACGGCGGAGCGGACGGGGTCATTTTGGTACGACGACTTGATGTAGCGCAGGAGGATGGCGGAGCCCGGCACGCGGTGGAACTGGTTGCTCAAATCGTGCAGGTACTCGAGGAAGAGGCGTTGGGTTTCGTGCAGGTCCATCATATCCTGTTCTAACCTTCTTATCTTTTAATTATATATGTTATTCATTCGGATAACGGGGTGAAGTGGGAAGTGGGAGAGGGGAGAAGGGAGGTGTCCGGGGGTTAGATTGGGGGACTATTTGAAATTGCCTGCGGTGACAGAGAGAGGGAGGAGAGGGTTATTAGGTAATAGAGGTACAGTACAAATCAGAAGGGAGAGAGGAATGGATGAAAGGAGGAGATAGGAGATTGAGATATCAATTAATTAGGGCATGGGGGGAGAGAGAAGTTCAAGATAGGTTTTCTTGAATGCGGCTCTCCATTGTCCGAAGGAGACAACATGTCACGTGAGTTTATCACCTGGCATCCTTACCGGAAGAACGTAGGATTATTACACGACCGGATTATGGTTGTTCCATCATTTCAATTGGCAACACGGTCACTGAGCTGTAAATCATAGTATAATGATGAATGAATGATGAAATCATCATAAATAAGTTATAAACTGAAAAAATCAAGTATTATATTTAGTAATATCACTGAATTCAATCTATACAATTACTAATTTTAAAAATTATCTTATTTATCAGTATTATTTTCTATTGAAAATTATAGATACTTCTATTAAAATTTTTTTAAATTAACTGAATTAAGTTTCTTTTATAGTCTTTATTTCTAGTTATATAACTCTCATTAACTATATTACTGAACTTATGAATTGAGATTTACAGATTAGTTATAATCTGAGAAACACTGTTATTAATTATCTGATATTTAAGAGTTAAAATTTCAGAGTAATTAAATACTAAGTATTTAAAAGTTTATATAATTATTATTATTATTATTCTTCAATTATAGATATATTGTGAAAGGTGTAAAGCTTGTGTGATTGAAAGGTTACTAGCTTTGTGAGAAGTTATATGGTGGAAGGATTAGTAAGCCAGATCACATGACCTGACACCCTCACTCACCAGAGTAACTATACACGATGCTGTATACAAAATTCGCCTTTAAATCAAGTACAGGTACAAAAAATGACTGGAAAATGTGTAGCAATGAAAAACCAATTATGATATACATTATTTTTTATCCCTCTGTCTCTCTATCTTCTTTATATTCTCTTTTCAACATGTATATTTCAAACAGTTGACCTCTTTAACACAGGCCTTGTAATAATACTTCTATTTCATGAAAGCTTTGGCACGCGTGAGGTTTTTTGAGATCAGAAGTGCAGCAATCTTGGAATTGATGAGTAGGTCTTCAAGACTGTTCATCACTGAAGATTCCCTCACTGTTGATTCCCTCACTATAGTGATATCTCTTGTAGATGTCAGAGAATCATCAGATTCAACTGTGAGTTCTGAGAAGTTCAGTGTATTCTGCACTAAAAGAGTAGATATTCTTGTGAAGATATCATAGTCAATTCATCAATTATTAGTGAGTATGAGAAATAATGAACACTCAGGTTGAATTTCCTCATCAATGAATAGATTATCAATTGATGAATCAGAAATCACTGCAGTCTCTTGACAGGCCGCAGTGAGTAGGCCTGATGTCTCCGAAGGAATTGCCGCAGCCGCTTTACAGGCTGCATTGAGTAGAACCTTCAGATTGTGTGAAGTAGTCAGTATTAATGAATTGGCAAGATGGAGATCCTTCTGAAAGATGATGTTCTTTGATATGTATAAACACTTATTGAAGAAATCCTTGTAACAGACTGACACATTGATAACCTCTGCAAGGTTTGCTATCTGATAGGTCTCTGATTCATCTGTAATGAATAGTTAAGTCTCACTCTCACTATTGTTCTTTTTCTTCTTTTCTTTGAATTTCTTTATTCTTGCAATGTTGTAGATTCTTCAATTATCTGAAGCACTGTCTGAATTGATTAATCAACAGTTGTTAAAGTGAGATCTCTCACATTCAGAACATGTAGATGGATTTTCTAATTCTCAATGATTTCAGAAGCTTTCTTGTGAACTATCATGATTATTACAGCCTTCACAGGCCAAATTTGATGTATTGTTGTTAATAGTCATTGTGGCTGTTGTAGCTGTCATAGCTGTATTGGCCGCAGAATCTATATTCTGCAGGTTCTTTTTATCTTTTGAAGGATTAAGCTATGAACAGATTTTCTTCATAAGAAGATCAACATTCAATATCACAGCTGTGAATTTGAAATCCTGTATCTTCTCTATCTTCTTCTGAACATAATTCCTTCAATTGTTGAGTAGAACTGAGTAGAAGATATCAAATATTCATGCATCTGAGAGAGAAGCATTCACCATCTTCAATTTTGTGATGACAGACTGAAACTTATCAAAGAATGTGTGTAGATTGATGACCTGTGTGTCATCAAGAGACATGAATTCCAGAACTACCTCACAGTGTAACTGTGTTTTAAGAACAGAGTATTCCTGTTCAATCACATTTCATAGAGTATAAGTGATCTGATTTTCATTATACTTGGAGAAATGTGGTCTGACACCTGCACTTAAGAAGTTTGAGATGAATGTGTAGAGTCACCAGTTTCTGATGTCTCAGAATGATGCTCATTCATCATCTCTTTGTAGAGAGTTCTGAGTCTGTCATTTCTCTATCATATATCAACACTGTGTATCAACCAGTTTCAATTTCATGAAGATGCTTTATGTGATGTAATTGAATGTATCAGTCAGACTGTTTAGTCTCACAGTATTCTTGATATCTTTCTTAAATTGAGAGATTGCCTTGCTAACACAGCTATTCAGTTCATAAAGATTGAATTTCAATCTTTTACTGAGATTAGAATTTCATATAACTGTTGATGTAATGACAGAATGATTGTTGACATTCTGTGATCAATCTGTAGAGAATCTCTATTGACAGAGTTTTTCCAGTTGTAGTTTGAGTTCTAGAACTCTTTGCTTCTTCTTGTTTATCTCAAGTATTATCTTGAGATGCTTCATCTGTTGATCTGATATTGCCTTGCCTGAATAGTAGACATCTGAGTGTTCATCATTCTCATCAAGAGAATCAGCTTCATCAAGCTGTTGAGTAGATCAGAGGGCCGGCCTGACTGTGTCAGAAGCTGTATTCAAACCAGCTTCAAATTGAGAGAGTGTTTTGACAATGGAGCTTTCAAAGGCTTCAGAAGAATGTTCACTGGCAGAGCGTGAGTGTGAAGAATCATCATCATCAACTGCAACTGACTCAGTGAAAAGGACGCGAGATCGCGAACATGTATGTGAGCGAGATTGTATTGAATCCACCATCTTGATATTCATTTATTGAATTGTCGATATTCATTTATTGAATTCTCGATATTCATTTATTGAATTCTTGTCAATATTGTTCTCTTTTTCTTGCTTTTTTGCAAATGTGGTGCATTTTCTGCAAGCCTCTTTTTTTTTAAGTGAGCAGTAGTATTATTGATCATCAAGATCTCAAACACATCAATACTGATAGAATAAGACAATTTTAACTCCTGATGAGCGTATTGAATGAAGCAGTAGTTCAACTAATGATTATATTGACAAGGAATCCTGAATTGGCAGCGATTTTTGTGCAAAACAGGTTTCATAACCTGTGAAAGGTGTAAAGCTTGTGTGATTGAAAGGTTGCTAGCTTTGTGAGAAGTTATATGGTGAAAGGATTAGTAAGCCAGATCACGTGACCTGACATATATATAGTCAGAGACTATAACATCAATCTGAGAATTAAAAGTTCTCAGAGTTTTTTCTATATCTATAAAGATAACTATTATACATTCATTAATTTCAGATATGTAAAATCAGAAAATTTCAGCTCAGAATATAAAAACTGTTTATAAATTACAGTATTTTAACATCTTCTGATACTTTACAATCATTTGATAATATCATGATAAAAGAAAAGAAAACACAGTCTTAAAGATAGACATATTAAATAGATAAATAGAAAAGAATTGAAAGAAAAAGATAAAGTAAAGAGAGACTGTAATAAAATAAATTATTAAAAGATAGTATATAACTGTTTTAACAGACTATATCTGATTGATTTTCTTCTCTTCATATTTAGACATTTCTGAATTTAGCTATTTTCTTATAGCTGCTTGAGTTTCTGATAGAAAGTCTATTAAGTATTTAATTTCTGTCTCAGTTGAGAATAAGAATCTTATATTTAATTAATTTAGATTATACTTCTCTTTCAATCTGACTCTGAGACTATTATATAATACACAGTGTATTATAATATACTCAGAATTCTCATTTACATTGCAGAATAAGTATTCTATTAAATTAAATCTATCATTAAATCTTTGTATATAAGGTTTGAAATAGTCATGTTCTAGTTTCAGCTGTATTATAGATGAGAATATTTTCTTTTTATATTTAATTAAACAAGATTTTCACTTGAGTTTTATTTCAAATCTTGAATAATGTATACTCTTCTTTTATTTCTGTCAGCTTTCATTTCACTTATCTAAATGAGATTCTTTTAATTTTCTCTTTATAAAAGATCAGAATATAATTTTTTAAATAAATCTGCTTAATTCTAAACTCTTTTTTACAGCTGAATCAGTCAATTCATTATCATGAATATTTATATAAGTCAGAACTTAGTGTAGATAAATTATCAGCTTTAATATTCTTCTCTTTTAAATTTTTAAAACAGAGTTTTAGATCAGTTCAAGATTTATTTGATCATTATAAATCTAACTATTTCTAAGTCTTTTTAAAGCAGCTTGACTGTCACACTTCTAGCCGTGTTAAGACTCTGCTGTGATTTCACACGGCTTATTACTTTTATATGAATAATTTCATTCATTTCACAGACTGTTCAAACCGGTTTTCAATCACTCTATAATATCATTCAGATATATTATAGAAAGATCTGATTAATAGATAAGAGAATCTTACTTCTATATAAAATCAGTAAATTACTCTTTCTTAATAGTGAGATACTGCTGAGATATCACTTCAGTTATTCTCACTCATGAAATAAGAGAAGAGTATCAGCTTATTATCTATATAGAATAGCTAGATACTGACTTCTCATCAAAGAAATCAGTGATTTATTTTTCTTCTACTGAAATATATATAAGAGTTACTGAATTTCTTATACAATCTTCTTAATATACTAAGTATTATATCTGTGATATTCTTGTAATAACTCTGTAGTCTATAAGCTTACTATTTAAGTAAGATAGTCAAGCTTACTTATACAGCTTCTCAATAATTATCTCTATATAATATCACTGACTAGTCACTGCTTCAGTTTCATTATATTATAATTTAAATTACTTAATCTGATTATAAGTTTAAATTAGTTGAGCTCTAATAGACTGATATAATCTGATATACTTATACTGAGACTGATCTGATCTCACTCTCTGAGAAAAACTCTACATT